CCCCCACCCCACCTCAGAATACCCATCCCCTTCACCTAACTCTGCCTCATATTTTTTCCTTAGCGCTTATCATTATAAAATAATATACATTGTTGTTGTTAATGGAGGTTGAATTGATTCCAACTCATGGCAACCCCATGTGTGCAGAGTAAAACTGCTCCAGGGGGTTTTCAAGGTTGGGACCTTTCAGAAGCAAGTTGCCAGATTGTCTTCCAGGGTTCCTCTGGGTAGGTTCAAACAGCCAACCTTTGGGCTAGTAGTCAAGGGTTTAATTATTGCGTCTCCTAGGGACTCCTTAAAGTCATATCTACATTAGTTGTGTATTATATTTGCTGTTTGTACCCTCACACTTGAATGTAACTTGAATGTTTCCTTTATGAAGGAAAGCAGCTTTGTCTGTTTTTGTTGGCTGATGTATCCTAAGCACCTAGAAGGTTTACTGGCACATGATAGGTGCTGCATGTCTATCTGTTGAATACCTTAATGAAAAGTAATTATATAAAAATATCTGTGGTAATTATACAAGATAATTTTTACTGAGAATTTACTGCGTGTCTGGGTGTGTATATATATATATACATATATATATATCATCTATTTTAATGTTCCCAACAAATTTATGAAGCAGGTGTTGTTAAGACACCAAAACTGTAGGCAGGAAACCAATGGTTAGAAACATCAAAGTAAGTTATTTTAGATCTCATCACCGATATAATTTAGAACTTAGATTTAAAACCAAAAAGCCTGACTGTTATGGACCCTATTTGAGTATTCCAATGTTGTTTCTGTATAATTTATTGATTGATTCTATAGGATTTCATTTTGGCAAAGGATATTTGAAGTCTCGCCTCTTGCCATTTCTCTATTGGTTTTGAAAACCATTAGTAGACAATTATTTCTACCTTAAGGATTTAAGTAGACATTCATAAAAAATATTCTATTCTTCAATGCTCTACATTTCATTTTGACCGATTTTATTTTTTTCCTGGTTTTGCTCTGTGTCTTTGCCTTATGTTACTCCCCATGATCATTCCATTGACTGTCCCATTGACACTCCTGATTTTTTCTTCTAGGAGAATGATATAAATCTGACCCACATTGAATCCAGACCTTCACGTTTAAAAAAAGATGAGTATGAATTTTTCACTTTTCTGGATGAGCGTAGCATGCCTGCTCTGACAAACATCATCAAGATTCTGCGGCATGACATTGGCGCCACTGTTCACGAGCTTTCTCGAGATAAGAAGAAAGACACAGGTAAGAATTAAAGGAGCTTAGTGA